GATTTTTATTAACCAGAGGGGAGAACACAATTTAAAGGAATTTTGGTGAGTCAGAAAGAACACAATTTAAAGGGATTTTTATTAACCAGAGAGGAGAACACAATTTTAAAGGATTTTTATTAACCAGAGGGGAGAACACAATTTAAAGGAACTTTTATGAATTAGAGAGGAGAACAAAACTTAAAGGGATTTTTATGGGTCAGAGAGGAGAACACAATTTTAAAGGATTTTTATTAACCAGAGGGGAGAACACAATTTAAAGGAACTTTTATGAATCAGAGAGGAGAACAAAACTTAAAGGGATTTTTATGGGTCAGAGAGGAGAACACAATTTAAATGGATTTTTATGTCAGAGAGGAGAACACAATTTAAAGGGATTTTTATTAACCAGAGGGAAGAACACAATTTAAAGGAACTTTTATGAATTAGAGAGGAGAACAAAACTTAAATGAATTTTTATGGGTCAGAGAGGAGAACACAATTTAAAGGGATTTTTATGTCAGAGAGGAGAACACAATTTAAAGGGCTTCTGATGAACCACACAGAGAAGAACACATTAGTTCTCTAACTTGCGAAATGTCTCTTTGTGGGGACCCCTAGTTGTACTTTGGAAACATCCATTGTTCTTGCCATTTTGTACACATATTATATATCTGTTTAAATAAATGAGCACAATTTCAACGGCTCAATCTAAATGGATGCAAGGCGACTTTGGTTTTGAGATTTTTTGTTGCTTCTGATAATGGGTAAACTCAAAATGGATGAAAGCCAAAATTGATTTTGAGATACATTTATTGCTGCTGATAATGGGTAAAATCAAAATGGATGAAAGGCAACATTGATTTTGAGATTTCTTTATTGCTGCTGATAATGGGTAAAATCAAAATGAATGAAAGGCAACATTGATTTTGAGATTTCTTTATTGCTGCTGATAATGGGTAAAATCAAAATGGACGAAAGGCAACATTGATTTTGAGATTTCTTTACTGCTGCTGATAATGGTTAAAATAAAAATGGATGTAAGGCAACATTGATTTTGAGATTTTTTTATTGCTGCTTATAATGGGTAAAATAACTTTCCTTTAGAACCGATTTAATTTATAAACTTTATTTGGCTAAAAACTGGAATAATCATTTGTTTTTAAAAACTGAAATAAATAACGCATAAATAGTTTTTATTTGAATAATGTTTTAAAACGAAACTCTGGAAACTTCCTCTATATATATATATATGTATTTTGAAAGTGATTTAATATTTTTCTTATACAGAGTTATTTCATATATCTAATGGAATTTTAAGTTATCTTGCATGATGAATGTGCGTTTCACATGTTACATTTGTTCGATGATCTTTTTATAGAACAACGATGATGTAATATGACGTAGCCCACTTTACAACTTTCTTTTTGCTAATTTACCCGGGCTTTTATAAAACTTATATTTTTTGCTAGACACCATAGAATTATTTCGCTTAATATACGTCCCCCCGATGGGACAGCGGTAAATTTACAGACTTACAACGTTAAAATCCGGTGTTCGATTCCCCTCGGTGAACGCAGCAGATAGACCAAAGTGGCTTTGCTCTAAAACACTTTTAAAAAAAAACTATGTACTAGCGCCATCTATTAAAGACTTGTCAATGTTTGAAGAAAAAAAAGACACGTTATTTAAAAAAAAATAGATTTATGAAACAAACGTTTATATATTTTTTATAAATATGCCAAAGGTTTTGTGCTTATTTAGAATAAAAAAGTTTGTATGTTTCTTCTCGTCATTTCTGGACTTTCTCTTTATGAAAAAATGTCTGTTGTCTACTGTAAAAGTACAAGAGCTTTTCTGGCACATGTTGTTCTATTGATAAAAAGTGTTTAACACATTTCTATTCCATTTAGCAAGCTTCTAGTACGTTGGCTGCTGGAATGGAATCCCAAAATTGGACTAAATCCCATTCTCTTGTACACCTGTTTCCTACTTCCTCCGTTCCTCAGCTTGTTACCCAGCTGGCGGGAGGAGCAAACACTAACTTACCGGCGTTCTCTAATTGGTGGCTTGGCAAAATACCCAAGATCTGAGGATTAGTTATGATTGGTCTATTCGATGTACACCTGCACGTTAGTTACCGACGGGAGAAGAGAGGGGGGGAGGTAAAATGAAAGCGGCCTGTGGGCTTGAAAAGCATTGCTATCGTAGAATAATGCTTCATTTGACAGAAGAAGCCGAGTGAGGAGTATTTCGAACAATTCAAGCGTTCTGTGTCGTAAACTACAGTGCCGAAGCAACTCTGCGGACCTACGTGTTTGTGCCATAGAATACTGCGTCCAATGCTAAACCGTCATGCCTCGTTCATTCTTAATCAAGAAACGCGTAACATTCAAAAATAATTCTCTAACGAAGAGAAGATCCTGGGAAAACGGAGACAGTGAGGTCGTAATAAATCTGCCATCGCTGTTATATCCTTATTCAGGTAAGCCACAGTAAAATTTCGTGTATACACATAAGCGTTTTTTTTTGTTTTTTTCTCTTATATACTTAACTGAACGAATGCGTTTTGTTTTTTTTCTCAGTGTACACATTTATTAAACTAAGCTGCGAAATCAAATTATAAACGGTTGAGTTATCTATTTAAACCTGTTAATCCTATAGTAATTAATAATTTTCAGGCAAAATTTCTGAGAAAACTATTTGCACACTTGTGTACTTACATTGTAGAATGTGAAATTTTTCTTTTTTTTTTCAGTTATTGTAACGTTCTATGTAGTTATATCTTACATGCGCTTGATTTTACAAAAATCGCTTTTGTTAGCAAAGATCAAACAAAACCTCTGAACAAACCTGGCCAATTATTTCATTTTAAAGTAAACAGATTTAGTCATAATATACTTTGTTTACAACAGAAACGTATAACTTTACCGCAAAATCGAAATATTATTTTCAAATTAAAAGTACTTGTCATGATAGTAGTAACTGCAGCGTTGTAAGTTTACAGACTTTACAACGCTAAATCCGGAGTTCGATTCCCCGCTGTGAACAGAGCACGGACAACCGATTGTGTAGCTTTGGTTGAACAAAAACAACAACAACTTTTCAAATATTTTAAGCTAAATGTAGGCTATAATTAACGTGGGACAGCTTGGGTTACAAAGAACAGATGGGTCTATTAAACGTAACCCATAAACACATCTGTCAACTCTTAGGTATTCAAACCATCTAGTATGTGCAGTCTATTGTTGCCTGGCAATGTATGATGTTCTTATCTCGAGCAGTATGTCCAACTCTGGCAGGTGCCGGTAACATCTTGATAGAGGGCGTTATAACGACTTTTTGATAAGTACTTTATAGTTTGCTACGTAAAGATAAGATTAGTTGAGAGGTTTCACGAGAGAAAATATACAAAGGAAACATGTTCATCGAGCTTCTGCAGGTGGTTCAAAAACATAAAAAACTTGGAGTAGGTGTGAAAAGCTGATCGTAATGTGTAGAATAAAGATAACAGCTTTCAACTTTACTTAAAGATTAAGCTCAATATTTTGTCACCAGAGGATTTTTCTTCAACCTTAGTCTTAACTAAATGAATAAGATTTTTGGCTACTATTAAATTTAAGATTAAGCTCAATACTTTGTCGCTAGAGGGCGCTAATTTTGTCCTTATCTTAACTAAATGTGTATGACTTTTGGTTATTTCAAAATTTTAATTTTCCCCAATGAAAGATATACACGTGGCCTAATGGTTAGCGTACTCAGACTGTGAATCCGATGATTCTTGGTTCGTAGTCTGTTGCCCCAAAACATGCTTTCCACTTTGGAGCCGTGGGTGATCTGTAAGAGAGATGGGCAAATACCACTATTCGATCAGATAAAAGTAGCCCAAAAGTTGGCGGTGGGTGTTGTTGTTTTATTTCCGCTTTGCTGAAGTCATATAATATCCCTATTGACTTAATTATATGGCCCGGCATGGCCAGATGGTTAGGGCGCTCGACTCGCAATCTGCGGGTCGCGGGTTCGAATCACCGTCACACCAAACATGCTCGCCCTTTCAGCCGTGGGGGAGTTATAAAGTGACGGTCAATCCCACTATTCGTTGGTAAAAGAGTAGCCCAAGAGTTGGCAGTGGGTGGTGATGACTAGCTGCCTTCCCTCTAGTCTTACACTGCTAAATTAGGGACGGTTAGCGCAAATAGCCCTCGTGTAGCTTTGCGCGAAATTCAAAAACAAACTTAATTATAATTTTATTTGTATTGTATGTTTATCGTACTGTATTGTATTGTACTGTAAAATCATATACTACTAAGACCTGTAGAAACGGTTATACTTTAGTTATATCGATATTACAGCTTTCTACATATCAATGTTTTTAAGTATCTAACTTTATTTTCTATATAGATAATCCAGTTCCTTTTGACCTGACTAAGAGACCAAAACACCCCGACTTGAAATCCGAATGTAGGCCACATCTGCTGAATATGTCCTTACAAACTGAACGAACTCCAGCCATTTCTTCCGTATCCTTTCCGGAAACGATAATCAATCGACCAAAAGAGTCATTTTGCTATCGAACTGTTGGTTCCTCGTGCTTACCTTTCGGCTGCCATGCACGTCACCCCGATACTAACAGCTTCGAGTACATAGAGCAGCCTCAGATGCCGATGTCCCCACCCCGGTCTCCACCCATTTCCAGTGATGACTTTGTTAGGTCATCTGACAAGCCAAATTCGGGTTTAACAGATTCTGATAGGGAACATGTCTTCCTCTTGAAACCCTCTTCGTCATCACAAGTCCTGGTTACTGGCAAAAATGAATCACCGACCGCATGGATTCCATACGTTCACCAAGAATCTCTTCTGTCAGCGCCCCCTAGTCCCGAGTCAGAGGTGGAAAGCAGCCGAGATAGCACCACCAACATTATCACAACAATAGTTAATAAAAATCACTTGGAGAACTCTCGATATCAATGTTCAGAATGCAACAAAAGTTATTCCACACACAGTGGGCTCTCCAAACATCGGCAGTTTCACTGTGATGCTGCTGACAAGAAGTCCTTCAGTTGTAAGCATTGTGACAAGGTGTACGTTTCTCTCGGAGCTCTCAAGATGCACATCAGGACTCACACCCTCCCGTGTAAGTGTACGCTATGTGGAAAAGCATTCTCCAGACCCTGGCTACTCCAAGGTCACATTCGGACCCACACGGGAGAGAAGCCTTTTTCCTGTCCACATTGTAATCGAGCTTTTGCTGACCGTTCAAACTTGCGGGCTCACCTCCAGACACACTCGGACGTCAAGAAATACAGGTGTAAGTCCTGTAATAAGACCTTCTCTCGCATGTCCTTGTTGGTGAAGCATGAAGAAGGCGTGTGTGCTGATGGACTCCACTATCGGTAACCAATTAACAGCTGCATTATGATCCCTCGATTCAGTTGCTTTTGGAAACATTTTTAAAACTGTAGTAGCACTTAAGTTGACTGGTTAAAATTACGTGTTTTATCAAGACTGTCGAGACCGGTTTTAAAGGACATTGACCATTTTTATTCTTCTAATAGAAATAGAAATTTCACTGTGCAGTTCCTACAGTACAATAACAACTAAAAACGCCAAGTACGTCGATAGTTGTGTTCTTGATTTAATTGCTTAAGAAATTGAGAAACAAGAAAATAATAATCAATACTAGTCTTTATATATATATATATATATTTAAAGCTTCCTATTTTCCTAAGCCTAACGGTGTGAGGGACTTACCTTACATTGGTTTGCCTGCCAGCATTAAGTGTCATTTTTTATGGATTATATATTTTGTTTTTAAAATAAGTGTTATTGTTTTTTTTGACATTTTGATGTTAAGATATTAACATTAAAAAACCCTTTATGCTCACTTTTTTAATCATATTTTTATACTATTTTGAAATGTGACATATGTTAATCCAAGATTAAACAAATTTTGCAACAATACAGATAGTTAGATTTTAAGAATGAACAAATTTTGCAACAATACAGATAGTTAGATTTTAAGAATGAACAAATTTTGCAACAATACAGATAGTTAAGTTCTTAGATGGAACAAATTTTGCAACAATACAGATAGTTAAGTTCTAAGATTGAACAAATTTTGCAACAATACAGATAGTTAGATTTTAAGAATGAACAAATTTTGCAACAATACAGATAGTTAGATTTTAAGAATGAACAAATTTTGCAACAATACAGATAGTTAAGTTCTTAGATTGAACAAATTTTGCAACAATACAGATAGTTAAGTTCTAAGATTGAACAAATTTTGCAACAATACAGATAGTTAAGTTCTAAGATTGAACAAATTTTGCAACAATGCAGATAGTTAGATTCTAAGAGTGAACACATTTTGTAACAATGCAGATACTTAGATTCTAAGAGTGAACACATTTTGTAACAATGCAGATAGTTAGATTCTAAGAGTGAACACATTTTGTATCAATACAGTTGTATTCTAGGCAAGGTATTCTCTAGTATCTGTTACTAAAGCGTGGATTTAAGAACTTGGAACGTAGATTGTGCCTTACCGCCATTTTGCTGTTCTGGTGACTTTCAAAAATCTTTTTAATGCTACTTTATAGCTTCTAACTTAAGTGATATGATAACATAGAAAAAATCGCTAGTCATTTGATATCTTCGTACTTAAAAGCAGATTTGATGGAATGTATTACGTAACATTATGATTTATATACGAAGTGTAAACTTATGTTACTCAGATTATTTGTTACGCGTAATGGATGGATTTTGTACATAAAATTGAAATTTTATATTATGTAGAATTGCCTGTACAGAGCGCCCGAAATTCAATGTAAGAATTGTAGCATATTCGTCATTTTCAATTATCGTTAAAATTGTATACATATATAGTTTTATATTTCTTTGTAAGAAGTTCCTGTGTACGAATAACCATGTTAATAAAACAGGTAGCACTTTCAACCTATTGTGTGTGCTATTAGTTCAAAACCGTCTGCTTTGTTCACAAGGCAGACTCCATACACGTTACCTCAATGTAAGCTGCCCCCCCCCCCGTGGGACAGCGGTTAGTTACGGACTTACAACACTAAAATCCGATGTTCGATTCTCTGCGGTGGACACTGCAGATAGGTTCGCCTGTGGGACAGCGGTGAGTCTATGGACTTCATTCATTCGTTCTAGGCTGTGTGCGCCCACTACAAGACGTAGCCCTCCGCCAAAGAAGTCCAAGTCTGTCTATCTGCTTCTTTCCTCGGCCATGTGACGCCCTCTTTCTCTATGATATCATCATGCCATCTAGTGTGGTCCACCTCATGATATCTTCCCTCTACGGGGCTGCCATTCTGTGATTCTTTTCGTCCATTGCTGTTGCCTTTTTATCGAGCGATGTATCCGGCCCATTTCCATTTTGATTCTGCAATATACTTGGAGACGTCTCCGATATTTCTTCTGATCCCTGACCATAGAATTTTATCCTGGAGCTTGATCTTAAGCACCTTCCTTTCCACTGCTCTTTGTGTTGTCTGCAATCTTGAGTTAAGCTGTTTAGTGAGTGTTCAAGTTTGACATCCATATGTCAAGATTGGTAAAGCACATTGGTCGAATACTCTTCTTTTAAGGATTATTGGTAGTTTTTCATCTTGAAAGATCTCTCGCAAATTCCCAAAGCAGCTCCAGCCAGCTCTTATTCTCATACTTATCTCCTATTTTGTTGTATTTTTATGTACGTTGTTTGTCCGAAGTATTTGTAATTGTTCACCCTCTCAGTAGTTTCATTTTTTAATTTGATTTCACGGTTATCATCTAAGTTTGTCATATCTTTTGTTTGTCCCTTATGTATTTTAAGGCCGATCTTTCTGCTTTCTTCATTCAACGTAAGGAACTGGTGTTCCATCTGTTGTGTATTCTCCGTAACTAAAACTACATCACCTGCAAACCTGAGATTTGTTAGTTCTTCTCCGTCTATATTGATGCCATATTCCTCTAGCTTTGGTCGTTTAAAAACTTCCTGTAATGTTGCTGTAAACAGCTTAGGTGATATAGGGTCTCCTTGTCTTACGCCTCTACCAATCAAGAAATCGGGTGATACATGACTGTCCAGGTGGAGTCTTGCTGTGATGGACTTACAACGCTAAAATCCAGGGTTTGATTCACCGCGGCGAACACAGCAGATATGTCCCCCTGTGGGACAGCGGTAAGTTTACGGCTAAAATCCTACGGCGAACACAGAAGATAGTCCAATGTGGCTTTGATCTAACACAAACAGAAAAATAGCGTATGTCGTTTTCAAGCTTAATTGAACAGTACAAATTATAGAATTCCAAGTCCACAAGAAAGGTGATAGTAACAGATGGTGAAAGGTGTAAATAAATTTCAAGAACTTCTCAATAAAAGTAAGATAATCATTATAAAAAATCACAACTAAAAAAAAAAGGTTTTAAAAAGAGTGTAACATATAAATTAATGAATACAATCCTGTATAATACTTCTAATTAGAAATACAAAATTTTGAAATAAACTACATACAATCTAATTCTTGAAGAGAGAAAAAAAAATAATGTGTTGTGTTTTGAATTGGCGTTTATCAAATAATCCACAGTGCTCCACATTTATCACAAAGTAATAATTTGTTTGTTTCTTTGTAATTAAGCACAAAGCTACACAATGGGCTATCTGTGCTCTGCCCACCACAGGTATCGAAACCAGGATTCTAGCATTGTAAGTCCGCAGACATACCGCTGTGCCACTGGGGGGCAAAGTAATAGTAAAACACTCGCAATACGAACACGTGGATCAAGAAAGACTAACTTGTTGGGCTGCGAATCCGAGGGTCCGAAGTTCGAGTCGTGATGTCGCTGAATACATTCTGCATTTTTCAGCTGTGGGTGCGTTATAAAAGTGACAGTTCGTAACGGTCTAAAGAGTCGGACAAAACCTTTGCGGCTGCGTTCATTATTTCAAAATTAGGAAAGCCTATACCCGAATCCCGGGGGGGGGGGTCTTTGAGATGCTCTTTAGTCCCTGTGCGCATAAAGGGTCGTTCGGTAGAAAATTTCAGTGCTAGTTCTCTATCTACCACCACAACCATTGTGAATAACTACTATCAACGTGACCTTTCGTCGTTTACTATGTTTAGGGGTCACTTTCTGTGATTGGACGACTGGATATTAGCTGATTTTTGTTAAATATCAAACTGTATTCATGATATTGCCATTAATATTTCGCTATCTTTCGTGACCATCAATAAACTCTACTGATTAAAGTCAAAAGTTAAAGATTTGTTTTCAGTTAGTTTGCTCAAAAATTTATAAATCTCATTATTTTGTTTTTAACTATTGTAATAGACAAGAAAAATATAGGGCGCAGTTTGGCACTGTTGTAGAACTCCCAATTTTGGATCTTATGAACAGGGTTCAAATCCGTACGACATTTCCCCGTACTTTAAACAGTTTATGCGTTATTAGAGAGACAGTCGATCACTTAGCATGACTGGTGGGTGGTGAGGTGCTACTGATTAGTTGTCTTACCTCTGGGCATTAGTTCAAAATTAGGGACGGTGGGAGATATACAAGATACAAATACAGTTAAAACAAATAACTGAAAACGTTCCGTAGCGTAAAAGCATAGAACAGTTTCTTCGATCAGATTAAAGTAGCCCAAATGTTGGCGGTGAGTGTTGTTGTTTTATTTCCGCTTTGATAAATTCATGTCAAATCCCTATTGAATTAATTATAATTTTAATTGTATTGTATGTTTATTGTACTGTAAAATCATATATAATTAAGACCTGAAGAAATTGAATTTATTAGTCAGACGTAACTTTTCAGGACAGGATATCGCATTTAAATGTGGTAATAAAGCAAGTGGGAATAAATACTAATGAATCTATAGTCGTAACTAC